AATGGCAGTTAATTCGATCAGTGGAAATGTATCCTGACACAATAGTTAGGAGCAAAGGGCTGGCTGGTTTAAATGGTGGATGTATTTATACACTAGTTCTAGCAGAGCCTCAGTAGAGAAGAATACAAGAGTGACAGTCCAATAATAAATGGACTCTTATCCTGCCTGTATATTTGATACCATTCAACATTCCCAATCTGATTCAGGATTACATCCAGGGCCACAACAGTCATGAATTATTTTGATAAAATTGCAATACTGTGACAGATTTAAAATAAACACAAGGAACTATAATAATATCAGAATACTATTATAATGTGATAATATAACATTCTGATAGTCATAAAAAGCATACATTACTCCATAGATTTTCATACCTCAAATTTTGTAAATAAGAGGTTAGATTTTAAAAGCAATGATACAAAATATTATTACAGTTTTTCTTTCTTTTAAGAGCACTTTTTTTCTTATTTAAACAAGTTTTACATTACCAGAATGAATGTTTAAAAACCTTGGGATATTCCGAATGCCATATATTTTACTTTGCTATAATATCCTGGGCTTCTGATACCTGAGCAATTAGGATGATTAATTGCATGTTTGCAATAAAAACAAAAGAGTAGGAGTGTTCCCTTACAGATTAAATATCTAGAGAAAACTATATTTGCGGCTAGACATAACAGATGCAGTCAACCCAGCATGCAATTTAGACCTGCTTCAATGGTTGCTTTAATTTGGTTTGGAATCCAAGCCTTCTTAAAAGAAGCCAACTTGTTTGAAAAAATAAACTTGGAAGGTTCATGGAGAGAAGTACTGACATGTGAAATCAATGTTATCGAAGAAAGGAAACAGTGTTTTCCTCCCTTCATCAGTTTATTCAAGGTAAGCGCTACCTCAGAAGGCAATACACCAGGGGTGTCAAACTCAATTTCATTGAGGGCCGCATCAGCATTGCAGTTGCCCTCAGGGGGCCGGGTGGGTGTGGCCAGCTCTACATTGTTCGCGTCAAGAGTGCCTGTGGGGACCTGGGCAGGAATGGGACAGATATGAGGGTCTCTGGCAGAAGGGGATGGGACCAGGGCAAGTGCCAAGGCATGGTCCACTGGAGGAACCTCACTGTTCCTCTTAGGCATGCGGGGGGGAGGGGGGCTTATGGAGCTAAGACTGAATGTGTTTCAGCATAGATGGCCACCACAAAATTGTACATTGGCTCCCGGCTGGCCTGGGCCAGGGCCAAGGCAGAGGGGGCCGTTCCCTCACTGTTTCCAGGATGGCTTCACGGGCCACATGAAACCACTTCGTGGGCCGCATCTGGCCCCCGGGCCTTGTGTTTGATATGTCTGCAATACACTCATAATGTAGTTTCATAATATAGAACTAGGGATTTAAATGCAAGATCAATCCAGTAAATGGCAAAGCCACAGCAGTTTTTGCCAATTCAGAATCAGCTTTCTGAGAGTTAAAGATTATTTTGCCCTTATTCTGTACATGCATCTGCAAAGCTTGCTTTTTCCTTTGCTGTGCTACAATTGTGCGGAGCATCATTGTATGAATTGTGTGGCATTTAAATATTACACTATGGTTTAGTTGCTTTAGCTGTCATTTAGATTTTATGACTTACAAACCTCTCTCTCATGGAATAACTCAGTGGAAATCTAGGACAAGGAAAATCTTAGACAGAATTGATCTATCCTAACAAAAGTATGAACCATTTTCTTAAATGAATAATTACTTGCTAAAAAAAAGCAATGCTTCATAAAGACCAATTACATCTTCATGGTTGAACAGTGAATAGAGGCTAAAATAAACAAAATGCCAGTTTTAAATGAAAATATGTTACTCCATATTGTCAGTTGTTCTCCTAAACCTGAGTATTCAATTTTGCCTCTGAAACTAGAAATTCATGTAGAGTTAAAAAAACTGAGTACAGGTAGTCTTTGTTTAGCAACCACAATTGGGACCAGCAACTTTGTCATTAAATGAAACAATTGCTAAGTGAAACATTCCAATTTTACCATTTTACTTCAGCTTTCCTCAGCTTTAGACCTATGAAAGTCATAAAGGCAAAGTTGCAAAGTTACTTTTTCATCACCACCGTAACTGTGAACAGTTACTAAACAAGGCAGTCGTTAAACAAGGACTCTTGTATATTTATTGGCTCTAATAGTAGTCAAATATGCTTTATTCTCTACTTAGAAATGTTAAGCTGGCTCTCCAGACTGGGCACACAAATAGTGATTAAAGTCAACCTGAGATTAGTGCTCATTATTTTTGCTCTTCTGTAAAAAAAAATTGACTATAGATTCCAACAAAGTGATATTTTCTATTTGGTAGCTTTCTTTATTGAATGACAGTTTAGAAAATGAGACTTTTCCCACTTAGCGTTTTACAGTACACTGTAGCTTTATTTATTTTTAGGATCATTCCTCACTGGTATTGATTTCTACCAGTACGCAGCTGAAACTCTTTATTAATGGAAGAAATATCAATTACTCCTCAACTAAATGTCAGTTCCTGTGGACTGGGCTTCATGAAAACTATTGATGGTGTAACTCTCTAATATTGACTGTCCATTACACTGTCAATGATGTAACAACCTTGCTCACATTTATTTGATTTTAATTAGAAACTGACAGTAGGATTGCACCACTGGGGTTGGGTGGGGACCCTATGCAAGTTACTTGGAAGTATTCCTATTGAATTCAATCATCTTACTTCTCAGATCTGAAAAGCCTCAGGAAGTTGAAGGCAGTCTGGAAGATATACTGCTCATGCTATGCTCACTCATTTCACTGTCACTTCTGATAAATTTTGCAGGCATTTGAAACAACTAAAATATAATGGGAACTCTTCACAGTGACAATGTATTACCACATGTATCCATGTATTGCTGTCATGTCCTGCTTGAGGGTTTCCTACTGAAAAACTGACTAGACTTTCAGTCTATTGGAACATATTTTTATGCTCTTTTTATGTCTTTTTTAATTTAAGGTGTAACTTTAATGTGACATCATGGTGAATGGCTGACTAAATTTCAGATAAGAAACTAGGTAACATCATCAGTACTAGACATCAGCACTGATGATGTTACCTGGTTGAAACATCCAGTGGTAGGATTCAAATATGTGAACAACCGGTTCTCTGTGTGGATGCCGCTTCCGGAAGTCCATTCTGGGCCTGGGCAACAAAAAAATAGCTACCGGTTCTGCCGAACTGGTGTGAACTGGGTGAATCCCACCACTGGAAACATCTGCAAAAAAACAACCAAGCTCAGAGAGCACCAAGGACCCCTCGGTTATGCCTGGAGTTGTTCTTGCTTTCCAGTAAAAGGTGTTAGACCAGAGTTTTTCAAATTTGGCAACTGTAAAATATGTGGACTTTAACTCCCAGAATTGCCAACTGGAATTCTAGAAGTCTAGAAATCCACACATCTTGAAGTTGTGAAATTTGAAAATCGCTGGTATAGGCCCCAGCTAGTCCAGGCTTGGAACCTTTAAAATCAGTTTTCGACCCTCTGTTTGCTTGGATGCTTCAAGTGGACCCCTTGCACTTTATTAAGGCCCTTGAAAAGCATCTTCTGTTTTCATGCTGTAGCTAACCCTCTTCCCAACACTCTAAAACCGGGCATTCTGATGAACATTTCTAAAAAAAAATGTTGAAAGGGTAACTTTTTGTTAATGCCTACTATAGCTCTCAAAAGGGAAGACAAGCAAGAGTCACTTTTCAAATTTCCACTAGCTAAACCAATTTGGAGACTACGTGATATTACTTTGAATTTTTCATTTCTTCCTCAACTTGTAGCAATTATCTTCTAATAACAGTACATGCCTAACACATTTCAAAATGTAATTTTGAATTTGTAGAGAATATATATATATAAGAATGTGCCACCACTTGAAAATGTTTTATTGTAACGTATACAAAGTTGGATAATATATTTTTACAACAGGTGATGGAACTAAAACTGGAAATACCATTAATACAAAGTTATTAGCTAAAAACAGATTTTTCGTATTGCTGTTTTTCTTCAAACTAGCAAAGAGGTAAATATAGAATCACTAACTGATCACTGCAATACTTTTTTGTTCTCCCTGTTTTTCTATTTGCAAATGTCAATTGTGGCTATTAAATATTTCCTAGCTGTGCTGTCCCAAATTAATGAGCCATCAGACTTCAAATCCGTTAAGGCTTGTACCACTCTAACTAGTACAGAAATTTAGCAGACAGACTTCCCCATAATTATTAGTATTTAGAGTACATATTTTCCCAACTGATTTCTGAATATATGTAAATATATGTAATATACCCAATTAGAATCCAGTTTTTTAAAAAGTTTCTAACCTCTGATTATATCAACTTGAAATACAGCACTTGAAAAAGAACTACATGTTCCTTTAATTTAACAGCAGCTTAGCACGGATGAATTGATAGATTAAACTTTTCATGCGTTTCCTTACTTGATACCCTCCAGTTGCACCATGCTTCCATAATTCCAACTTCTATATATAGCGATAGTACTAGGTTGAAAAAGGCTGCTATAGCAAACAACTACTAACACTGTCGGCTGGCATCAACTAATAAAAGCCGAAAATCTTAAAGCTAACTAGTGTGTTTCCTTCCAAAGCATAGGCTGGACAATATGTTAAATAGTGCTTGGATTCTATGGTAGAGTCATAGATATTTACTGAGCACATCTGACTTCTCACAATATACATAACTTCTGAACTCTGCCAGCATTCACTATCTGACACGCAATGAGGGGACTGTAGTTACAGGGATATCTTTTTAAACCTGCTGTTTGGCACCAAGACATCAAATTCTAGTGGGACAAATTAGATGAACATGAAATACCAATAATGCAACTAGAACTGAATATGTGCTATATTCTAACTTTATCTGACCGATAAATTAGGATTAGCAGCAACATAGATTAAAGTAAAATACAAAATAACATTTACAGCATCACTTGAAGGCAATATTTCAGCTTAGATGGTGAAGATTTACTGTTCAGAATATGAAGAACAATCTTCAGTGGCATCTTCTTGAGATGTTTGGCAGGGCTTACATATAATTGCAGAATCCTGGCTGTCTTCAGTGGAAACTAAAATACAGAAGCAGAACAGAAGTCTTCTGTTTCATTAAATGACTATTATTTAAGTAACAAAAGCAAAACACATTCTTATTCACAACACAATTGTTATTTACAGAGTGTAGTTTGAAGAGCCATCTCTCCAATAAGTATTACAAAGATGCTTATTACTTCACCTTGAATACATTTGTTTCCTATTTCTTTAATATATTAATAGGCTAGTAAACAAATATAAAGTGTGCATAGTGATATTGGCAATTACTGAGAACATTAGTTTGAAAATGATAATTTGAGCCATTTGACTGTCTGCAGCTGTTCAAGGCAGAACCATTTTTCAAATACAGGTAGTTCTTAATATAATAATAATAATAATAATAATAATAATAATAATAATAATAATAATAATAATAATAATAATAATAACAACAACAACAACAACAACAACAACAACAACAACTTTATTGTCACTTTGAAAGTACACCAATCGGCATACATCAAAATGAAATTTTGTTGCATACAGCTCTCAAAGGGTCACCACCTCTGATATACACTCCTTGTTCGTGGCCAGCTCAAGTTACAGATCTTCCATTTTAGTCTCTAGGGAGCGAATGATGGCAAACAGGACAGATGGAAATGGAGCTCCATGTGGATTATCTCTCAAATTAGCTTGTATTCCTGAACGACAACCTCGCCTCCTTTTCTTTTTCTGATCTTGTCTCTTCCACCTTTTCCTTAAAGAGGCCTCATTCCCTTTTGCCCCTGGAGAATGCTGCCACCACCACCAACTCCTCCAAAAGCGTCTCTCCCATCCTCTGGGCCTGCCGACAGCCTCATCCAGTTCCTTCGCTCCATAAGCCCCGGGACCTCTCCTCCTCTGCCTCCTTTGGAAACAGCCCTGATTTGCAATAGAATCTGTCGCTGGGCCAGCAGTCAGATCTTGCTGCCGGCAGAACAATTTCAAACAGCACCAACGACTTTTAACGGTCTCACCAACAGTTCCGAAACAGCTAGAAACTCGCCTTGCCAGCAAAGATTGTCAGTCGTATGTTGTATGTTACCTTAGTTCCACCACATTGCTCAAACACATTAAAACCTTCCTGATCATGTGGCCTATATCCCTTAATATCCCTCCCATAACTCTTCACCTTCAAGAACCAATGCAGCCGCAGCCGATCCAGGCGCCGCCATCTTAGAACTTACGGCCAGTCACTTAGGAATTGTTATAAGTTACAACAGACCTACCTACAATCAGGATTCAATGTTTTGACCATTCCCCCCCCCCGATCACGTGACTGTACTTCAGGTGCTCAACAACGAGGCCATTTGCAGTTCTCACGGTCACATGACTGCCTTTTTATGGTGGTTTTATTAAAAACTGGTATTTCCATTTTTTTGGCAAAACTGGTGCATAATGAACCATGAGTTCACTTAACAACGACAATGTTCATTTAACAACTACAGCAAAAATAGTCATAAAATTAGGCTGGTCACATGATCAACCCGCTTTACGACTGTCATCACTTACAACCATAATGGGCAGGGTCCATTATAGTTATAACTCAAGGACTACTTATAACCTAATTGGGAGAATGAACAATATGATATAACTACCTGGATCCAGAACATCTTGGAATGTATTAGATCACATACTGGGGAAAGGTTTACCCTATTGAAAAAAAGTCCTCAGTCCCTATATGCAGAAAGATTTAATATGACTCTCCTGCGATAAATTATTTGGGGGAAACACTAAATTTCTTTTGAAGTTTGTACAAATATTCTTTCGTTGTTCTTCAGTGGTTGAAAAGTGCAAGCAGAGTTAAATTTTAAGTTAAATATTTTCAGAGGACAGTTTATTACCATCCAAAGTCACGTGTTGCGATGTGATCATGATTTGATCCCAAATATAATTAAGATACAATTAAAGTGAACATATGCTTGATTTATATGCCCCTGTAGTTTGAACAAATAATGGATTCAGTTGTTCAGGTGATGTTTCTCAATGTTGGTTTCCGAGATCATAAAAGCATTTGTTACTGGAATTATGCAGACAGTTCAGGAATATACATAGAAAATAATTTACTAAATTTATGCAATATAAACATTCTGAAACATTATGATCCTCTTGGTAATATCTAGCTGCATTAGACTTATCTAAACACATGTATCTAGCAAATCACTGTGGTCGTTAAGCGAACCCACAGTTGTTAAGCAATTGCTGCAATTATAAATGTGAACCCATTTTCTGATTTTTTTGTCATGTGATGATGGGACATCAGTCATAAAGGTGAGACAGTCAACAAGCACCTGAAACAACCTAGAACTAAGGAGAAGCAACCTAGAACTAAGGAGAAACTTCCTGACAGTTAGAACAATTAACCAGTGGAACAACCTGCCTCCAGAAGCAGTGAATGCTCCAACACTGGAAGTTTTTAAGAAGAATGGTATAGGGTTTCCTGCCTGAGCAGGGGTTTGGACTGTCTGAAATGGTATAAGGTTTCCTGCCTGAGCAGGGGGTTGGACTAGATGACCTCCAAGGTCCCTTCCAACTTTATTATTATTATAACATGGTCAAGTGACTGAGGAGCAGGGATGGCATGACATTTTACAAAGACCAGAAATGTTTTATGGGCTATAAAGCACCCGTTCTGGCCCCGTTGTACTTTTGAATGGTTAAGTGACGGTTAACTGTAGGTGCATTGCAAACATCAGTGTAACGGTTGCGCAACCAAATATTCTGATTACTCACTAGATGTTTCCTTCGTAGCTTCAGTCACAAGGTTGAGCTGGAGAGGTGGTGGAAGGTAGTGAATCCTTGGCAGAAAGCCTCGGGGTATAAAGGGTGAGAGTGGAGTATAGTATCCTGGCCGGAAATCCCCACCTGTGTCCTGTAGCTATATAAAAACAAAGGTGTACGAACAGGTGATAAACTGAGCTATGCAGAAGGTGGCTATAAAGTCAGTGAAACTTAGGCCAAAACATATTTCATGATCCTATGAAATCAATCAATCAATCAATCAATCAATCAATCAATCAATCAATCAATCAATCAATCAATCTATCTATCTATCTATCTATCTATCTATCTATCTATCTATCTATCTATCTATCTATCTATCTATCTATCTATCTATCTATCATCTAGATTTCTAGGAATTATAAACAAGGGGTTGTCTGGTCGGTTTCAAGAACAAAAGAGCCACAGGAAAATATAAAGTTTCTGGAAAGAGATTTTTGCAAGAATGAATCAAATAAATAAAAGAAAATATCCTAAGTGATTGTAATATTAGGGCAAATTCTCTCTCTCTCTCTCTCTCTCTCATCTATCTTCCTTATATCCTGATATAATCTCCCAAAGGAATCTTGCTGACAAACTACAAAATTACAATTAAAACAACCACAATAAGATTAAACATTGAAATATACTGCACACACCCATACACAAAACACACACACACTACCGCCATGGTGCTATCACATGCCTTCAGAAGAGATTAGTTTTCAGCTGCTTCCAGAAAGCAATTAAAATAGAAGTCAATCTGACAGAAACCTAACTTTATTTATCATACCTAATTTTATTAGGCTTAATTTTATCATTGGAAAGGAAATCAAGAACGTTTTCAAGTTTTACATTTACGTCCTTCAACTGAGGTCTTGGATAGGCACAACTGGAAAAGACTGGAACCATTTAACAGAAATCCAAATCCCTGTACCAAATGGTAAATAAATGATATTAAGGTCCAACAGCAGCAGTTACATTAGCCGTGGCATTGGATAGTTAACAATCCATATTTAAGAGAACTAAATAACACTTCAACACTATGTTTTTTCAAATAGATTTGGGAGAGAAGACTTAACATGTATTTTTGCCATTTTTTATTCACCTAAGTTGTTATTAACCCATTCCAAATGTTCACAAAATATACCTATTTTTTCAAAAATATTTTTTCTGACACACATAGGGGAGACAAACTGGTTTTGCCTTTATAGTTTGGGCTAGTACTATTAGCTGCTATGCTCCTTGCTTGCATTTCTGTAGTTAAGTACCAGGAAGGAACATGGGGAAAAAAATTCATCTTATAGATATGTTGCAGATTCAGTATATGAGAAGCACTATTTTTGATTCAGACATTACAGAACCATCTATTCTCACATTCCTTCCCCATACTTTTATTAATTCCCCAGTCATAATTACCATTGGATATATTAACAGTTGCATCAACTAGGTGGGCCCTAAATGAGATATTATAATGAAGTAACTCACCAAATGTGCATCCAAGTCAATGTTCTATTGAACCATGTGGATGATCAAATATACAGCTAATTTAAATGGACAATTCTAAAAGTAGACTATCTGAGATTTTCTCAGAAATTCTATTAACATTCATAACTAGAAAGTGAATGTGCTGAAAAGCATAGTGCCAGGCTCTATCGTCTATTTTATTGCCAAAAATTGAGTTCAGATGCAATTTTTGAAATACAGGCAGCCAGGTGCTGCTTTGTGTGGATATGTGGCTATCTGATAAAAAATGTCATCATGGGAGAATAGATAGAAAAGGGGTAGTAATCTTACTGGTTTGGTGTCCGGTGTTTTGTGAAAGATTATGCCCCACACAGTGCAATCAAGTTACTCAAAATTCAAAATATGCCACTGATTCAAAGTTATTACACCAATAGCGAGCTGCAAAAGACATCTGTAGGTGTTGTGCTTATGTGAGGGGTATTAAACCATATGGAGAAAACTATACTTACTGGTATAGTAGCAGGAACACTACCTGCTCCATGATTGCCGGAAAAGTGTCTGAAACTTGTTTGCAGAGGCAAAACAGGTGCAGGAGATGGACCTCTGTAAGCTGGTTGATTGATAGTGAATCCCATTGAAAATGGATGATAAGGATACATCCCAGAGTATCCAGGATATATTTTGGGAGGGTCCCTCTCCCCAAATTCTGGACACACAGTAATACATTCTTGAGGCATATTGGGATGATCTATTAAAAAAAAAGTTAGTTTAAATGGATAGTAGCTGGATTTAAATGGGTTACCACTGTTTATTTATTTTTTGTATTCTGCCTTTATCGTTATTACAAATATCTCAAGGAGGGGGAAATATCCAACACACCTTTCTTCTCTTATTTTTCCCAGTGAGGTGAATTGGGAGTGAGTAAATGGCCTAAAGTCAACCAGCTGGCTTTCATGGCAAAGTTAGGACTTGAACTCATGGCCTCTTGTTTTCTAGCTTGGTGTCTTAACGACTAGACCAAACTGGCTGGTATCAGCAACATATAAAGGTCTGAATGGTATTTTAACACCCTGAAAGTGTTGCATTTTGGCTAATTAAAACTTTCAAGAAGGTACACTTTAGGTGTCCTCCCAGGTACATATCCATGAGAACATTGAAGAATGAATGAACAGCTTATATGCAAGAAGTGTTTTTTAACATAATTGTTCCACTGAGAGGTGTAAAGGTCCTACAATCAAGACACCTTAAATGGCCAACATCTTACTAATGCAGAATTGTTGCTCATTGGATATGTATCAATTGGAAGAATGCATAGAGATCTTTGTTAGTCACAGAGAAGCAGAGGATAGAAACATATTACGCAATAAACAAACTAAATCAAATATTATTTATTTATGAATAAGAGATATATTAACATAAAATGTGGTACTGTAATTTACTGTTTTATATAGTTTGGACAAATTTAATTCATGGTTTCTTCTTTTTAATCAAAACTTTATTACATTTCATGAAAATGTAAAATACAAAAACAAAGAAAAGGAGTTAATAAAAGGGGAAAGGGTAACCAAAAAAATCATAATTACGAAGTGCAAGCAACAATAACAGCAAAAAGCTGGTTTTCCTCAATAAGAAAAAAAAATCTATAAATCAGTGACTCTTTGAATTAGAATGAACCACAGTAAACAATTTTGTTTTTTCTCTTAAGTAGAAAACTTAATGTATCAAATCAAGCAGCAAAAATAAATTGCCAGGTATCTTAATAGTATTTAATGTTATACCAAGCCAGTAGATGGCAATCCATATTCATAAATAGAGCACAACATGGATCCCAATTAAGGGAGCAGAATGAAGGAGAAGATATTTTTTACTGTAATAAAAATTCTGAATAAGTAGGAAATGTATAACATCTTGCAATGTTTCAGGTTTACTTTTGATAAACAATTTTGAACCTGTTGATTTAAGTCAATGTTTATTATCAGTTTATTATCATTATTATATTAGAGGAGAATACCTGTAGCTCGTGATTTAAATGAGGGATCTTTGGTGCTCTCTGAGCCTGGTTGTTTTCTTGCAGATGTTTCATTACCCAAATAAACTACTATTATCAGTGCAAGAAAATTCTGCAAGAAAACAACCAAGCTCACAGAGCACCAAGGACCCCACAAATATATTTGCTAAACTTTTTCTGTATTTAAGATGATTAGCACCACTTTATTTAAAAATAACTAACCGCTGCAATTTGAATTTTGCAGAGAAATTCAAATTAGAGCACTTCATTTAAATATGCTGCCTTTCTAAGCAGTCTTCAAAATACAGCTTGCACAATATCAATTCAATGCAAAAATAAATTGTTACAAAAGATGGCAGCAGTCAAAGGTTTGTCTATTCTCTTTTGTTCTTACAAAAACCAATCCAGCAAATTATTTTCATTAACACTGAAATATTCCCTTTGCTGAAAGGAATATTGGTAAAATATAGTACAAATCATATTAATTCCAGACTCTTTGTTTTTCTATTTGCTTGATTGGCAGTTCAGTGTTTTGTTGGGCCTGCAGCAACTCATTTCACTCATACAGTACAGATTCTGGTTGTCTAAATTTAGTTTTGCAACAATGAAGCATGGTGCAGCAGCTTTCAAGCAGGATATGGAAGCTGCAATAAATAAATAAACAGCTAAGGAATAACACCCTTTGATAGGGGAAAGAAAAATAATAATCCAAATCATCACCAGTAACAAATTGGCATAGCAGGATACATATATCGCTAAGGCCTAGCCCTAGGACAAGTAGAAAGTTAAGTTCCTAAACAGAAAAGACATAACTAATCATCAATATTTGAAAAATTATGGCTGGTACACATACCTAAATCTATGAAGGTCGGAGAGCTTGGTTTAGGTGGTGTTGGATTATTTGCTGTTCTGGTACTGGAGCTAACTGCTGAAGTCACTTTAATTCCTTCATGCACAACTGACCCAGGAGTGGGAAACTCTGAGGAATTTATTTTTAGGCCCTTCTTACTGCTAGCAAGGGCTGCCACTTCTTCATTGGGCCTACCCTGAGTGGGAGGCAAGGTCTCTCTAGGTGGTGAATCTGGTCCTTGTCTTTTTAAGGCCTTCTGTGCAGCCATGATCTTCTGGCGTTCAGTGATGAGAGAACATTTCTCACATGGGCACTGCTTCCACCTGCAGTGACCAGCATGACCCTTGACTGGTACCACAAAGCCATGATTCCGGCAACGTGAACATTTTGGAGCCCGAAGAGTCTGAGTCCCATCTTGGTTCTCCATGGCTGACAGCTCTCTCTAGATACACACCAGTTCTAAAATGGTATGCACTGAAATCTGCTCTCCTTGCCTGCAAAAAATGGCTACAATCTAGCAATTAAGCCTGGGCCCTAGCCTAAGAAAGGGAAGAATTCTGCTTCATGGAGAAGGGAGGAACGTTTGGTGCTGGGTCTCAGCTCAACAAAATGTAGTATTTTGTGATAAATGACAAGATATTCCAATTCCTTCCTTGTTTTTATTTCTGGAGATTCTGTTTTGAAACAGACCTTCTCTGAAAAACTTTATTTTAGTGGAAACTCAACATTTGGAAAAGAGCTTCCATCCCTGCAAAACCTACTGCTCTTGTCTCTTTGCCAAGAAGGCGGAGTTTTTGTTTTTAGGGCCACAGATAATTTTTGTGAGCAGATGGCAAGACATTGAGTTCTCTGGTGGCTCTGCAAGAAAGATTTAAGAGGCTGGATGCCAACTGTACAGTTTTGTGCTTCAGTGGAGAATCTGTGGTGTGCAGTATTAATTGAGATGGAGCTGATGAAAAGAGGAGAACATTTTATACAAGATACAAGTCAAGTAATTGAATGTGATACCTGTGCTACCTTAGAATTATCCTGCTCCATTTGTTTCAATTCTAAACTTCAGACAGTAATTGGTTAAGATGTGCATGAGTTCATATCTTGTGACATGCAGGGAAAACTGCTTTCTTTTTCCTTTATTAAACAGTGATTGTATCATAAACTCCAAATCTCTTTCCTTTGGGATTTCTGATATCCAAATAAGTTCGGAGGACATTGTATGTATCTGTTTCTCAGTACAAATTAATATAAATTTAATAAATAAATAAAATAAATATTTATACATTTATTTCTCTGAGCCTGAGAGGCAATCCATAAGAATAGAATAGAATAACAGAATTGGAAGGGACCTTGGAGGTCTTCTAGTCCAACCCCCTGCTTTGGCAGGAAACCCTATATCATTTCAGACAAATGGTTGTCCAATCTTCTTTTTAAAAAATCCAGTGTTGGAGTATTCACAACTTCTGGAGCCAAGTTGTTCCACTGATTAATTGTTCTGTCAGGAAATTTCTTCTTAGTTCTAGGTTGCTTCTCTCCTTGATTAGTTTTCATAAGTTGGTTTCAAGATGCAATAAACTAGCCTATTGCCTAGAGGAGGGGTGTCAAAGTGCCGGCCAATGGGCCGGATGCATCATGCCGAAACTGCGCTCACCCCAGGTCCGGCAATGGGGAAAAAGTCGTGATACGTCACGACACGTCACATGACGTTGCGAGTTTGACACCCCTGGCTTAGAGGGTTGAGTGGTATCATTACTATGACATAATTTTTTATTTTTATCAATTTACAAAATGCAAAGTGTTCTATGGTTCCCAAATGATATCTTATTTCAATATAGTAAATAAAGAGCAAACTATAACTTATAAATAATTCCGTATGCTTAATTATGTTGCAGGAAAAGGAGATTATTGTTTCCTTGTACAGTGACTGTTTAATGCTGGATTTTTCTGACTGTGCCACTTACTTTACAAATCTGTTTATGATATGAATAATGAATTCCAGTTACTCATATTGGATTTTTAAAAACTGTCCAAATAAAGAAGCAAGAATAAGTAAACAATATGCTTTATGTTAATTATAAATCTGCATCTGTAGAATTTTATAAAGCTTAATTCTCATTGGAAATACTTTCCTGCTTTTGGATTAACTGGACTGGGGGCTATGGAAGTCCTAAGGCACTTCCATATTAACAACTTCCTGAAAGTTCTAAAGGGCCCATTTCCCTCCCTTTTTTCAGGAAAGCCTTGAGCATATTATTTGCCTTTCTGTATTTAAATCAATATTTACTTACTGGTTTCCAAATAATTTAAACTTTTCCAGTTATCACTGAGAGTTGTGTATCTTCCTGCTCCTGTTTTGCATTTGAGAGTAATGTATTAAAGTGTAAATATTTAATGGCTGCAGGCTGCTTACATGGCAGATAAGGAAAATGCAATATTTTAAACAAGCAAAACTTCTTGTGCAAAAGAAAATGTTTTCTGAATTTGTACTTTAGTCATTCTTAATATTTTCTCTTTAATTCAAACTTCACAAGGGTTTTTATCTAATAGTAATAGGTAGGAATTTTGGATCTGGCTTTTGCTTTAATGTCAGCTATCGCCTGTAGTTTTTTCTTTCTGCTTTTAAAACATACTATATCCTACTCAACACAGAATTCAAATGAAATATGTCTTCTTGAAGAACATAAGCAGTCATGTCTTCTGTGCACTCAAAGCAGCCTTTCAAAAGCCATCCCTAGCTGTGCATCCACATGCATCCATATGTATGCTTTAGAAATTACTTTCTTCAAATGTTTTGCAGTCAACCCTGTAGTCCAGGGGTAGTCAACCTTGGCTCTTTTATGACTCGTGGACTTCAACTCCCAGAATTCCTGAGCCAGCCATGCTGGCTCAGGAATTCTGGGAGTTGAAGTCCACGAGTCATAAAAGAGCCAAGGTTGACTACCTCTGCTGTAGTCTAATAACAGTGTTTTGATAATTAGGCATTCTTTTTATATCTGTTTTTATGTTTTGTGAACTGGTTTAAGTGACTCCTTTCTAAAAGGGATAAGAACAAGGGTATAGTATTTTTGTATATTTAAATAAATAATATGTCTTCCAGCCCATGGGCAAGCTCAGACCTACCCATGCTAGTGAATTAAACCGCTCATAAAATGGAATTACCCACTTTTAAATACATGGAATGGAATGGAATATTTATTATATACAAAAGACCCAAACACAGACATAATCAAAATATTTAGCATAAACTATTACTGCAGATAAAAAAGTTAACAATACAACACAAAACTTTTAGAAATTTAAAACTTAATTTATTAGTAAAGACATTGTTTTTTTATAGCCATAGTTAAAATTTGGCTATTTCCATCCAGTCGCCCCGAATTAAGGGATTTCAGGATTGTAAAAAAAGGGAGTTAAAATTTGGCTATCACCACTGTAATTCTAGGATTTTTATTGAAAATAAAATTTTAATGTCAGACTTTAACTTTACGAAGTACTGTACTTCATTCTCAGTGTTTAAATAGGCTATATTATATTCAGCTGAAAACTCTTATAATATTCACAATGGAGTAGAATGTGAATCGCAATTTCAAGATTACAGGGAAAACATCTTTGAGAGATAGGAATCTTTTGAAATCTATCATATATTGATGGCAACAGATTTAATCTGACTTTAGAGAAACTATTCTATATTTCCTTACATATAAATTGCAACAGCATATAGGGAACTGAAGATGTAATTGTATTTATTTATACTGTATTGTATGTAACTATATGTGATTCTCTAAGTCCGGGAATTTCAAGTTTTGCCATTAATTCCTGTACTGAATGGTTTCATCCTCTATAATATATTAAAACACTGGTGTCATGCCTAGAAAACAAACAGACCAATCTTTCTTTTACATAGAGTATAATCCCCAGGGCATCTACAGGTTTCACATGGAAGTATCATAAGAGGACATTGATTCATTTAATATTGTAATTTAAATAGCAGAGTAAAAGAGATTATTTTCAAGATGAACTCAAGTCCTGGTGATTTTTTAATGAATATCTTCATGCAGTTTTTGTAGAAAAAGCATAGTCATGTTTGCTACTGCCATTTTATATGATTGTTGCTATTGTTCTGTCTGTCCTGTAGCCCTGGACTTTCTAAATGCTCCCGTATCTAATTACTACTCAGCGTTGTCTTTCTTTAGTTTTCTAGAATTCAAATAAAGTTGGCAAGTTGATATGGAAAGCAGCTTGGTCCACTTCTAGACCGGCCAAGCATTCCAAGATGATTCATCTGTTTCCAGAATGGAATGATCTAAATCAGGAAGCATTTTGCAATATTCAATCAATTAAATATTTGCATATTTGCAATATGGACAATCAATTAAATATGAGCTAGCAGTGTGCGGCGGCAGCCAAAAAAGCCAATGCAATCCTAATTTGCATTAACAGAGGGATTGAATCAAGATCACGTGAGGAGTACTGCCTTAGTAAGGCCACACCTGGAATACAGCATGCAGTTTTGATCACCACACTATAAAAAGATGTTGAGATTCTAGAAAGAGTGCAGAGAAGAACAACAAAGATGATTAGGGGCCTGGAGGCTAAAACATATGAAGAACGGTTGCAAGAACTGGCCATGGCTAGTCTAGTGAAGAAAAGGACCAGGGGTTACAGGATAGCAGTGTCCCAATATTTGAAAGGCTTTCACAGAGAGGAGAAGGACAACCTATTTTCCAAAGCATCTGAATGCCAGACAAGGAACAATGGATGGAAACTGATCAAGGAGAGATTCAAAAATAAGAATTTTTTTTTGACAGTGAGAACAGCTTGCCTTCAGAAGTTGTGGGTGCTTCATCACTGGAGACTTTCAAGAACAGACTGGACAGCCACTTGTCAGAAATGGTATACGGTTTCCTCCTTGAGCAGGGGGTTGGACTAAATGACCTACAAGGTCCCTTCCAACTCTGTTATTCTATATTCTATTCTGTTCTGTTTCAGGGCCAGACTTTGCCCTTGACAACATTAAACCCAGTTCCATAAGCTTCCCATTTGAAGTAGTTGAACCATCTTCCAAATGCTCAGATGATTTATTTCATTGGGAAAATGGAATGTTTCATACATCGGTGTTCTGGGAAATGGCCGTGCAGTTTTGCACGCAGCTATTTAAGAAAATGAAATGGTGACAGTATTCTAAGTCATTTCTTTCCACGTAGAACTATTTTGAATTTTACTTTCTCCCTATTTCTATTATATCCTCTATTTTGATGCTTTCCCTTCTTTTTCCAGCAGTTTTGTTTCTGTCACTATAAAAAGTTACAGTTGTTTAGAGGTGCTTTCAGATGACTTTTGATTAATCCTATCACATAAATTTGTTGAGGTTGCAATCATTCCTGTCATATATACTGTAGATAGAAAGTCAGGTCCTCTGACCAAAAAGCAATA